TTTTAACAGTTTCTCTAAACATATTTATTAGTAATTTGTATTAATTTCAATAAATTATGCATAGTACCTTCAGATAGCATTTTAGTAATTTATAGCAATTCTTTACTAACTTAGGCTATTCCAACTTAGAGTTATGTTTAACAAATTTTCCCTCCAAAATTTGTATAATTTATATATATATTCAAGACATATAAAAAAGCAAAATTTATAAAGGTATATGTATTCCTTCCAAAAAAATCTAAATTTAAAATAAAATATGTGTAATATTTAAATTTAATGAACTAATAAAAGTCGATCTGCTAATTATATTATAAATAAAATTATATTACTAGTTCTACTTTACAGAATTTTCTTTTATTTATATTTTTGATATTTTTTTTAAAAAAAACATATATCTTTTTTTTAAGATAAAGCTTATGCTAAGATGAAATTATATTTGTTAGTTTCTGTATACTTAATAAAAAACAGATTATTAGATCTTTGGTAACTAGTATTGAACTACCTAGATTATTATCTGATCTTTTGAAGATAACCTTTTCAATTTATAATATACTAAATATAAATATCTATTAATTTTTAAAGAGATAAATTAAATGAATAGCATATAATATTAAAGAATATTTATAAAAATTTAAAAATATTAGATATTTTAAAGGCTATAAATATAAGATTTATGTAAAATGATGAAAATGATGATATTAATGATTCTCAAATAAAAAATCACAAAAATATACTTGATATATTAATGACCAATACTACAGATATACATTTTCTACTAGCATAAGGTTTAAATACTTGAAGTAATCTTTTTTATAATCATATTATTAAATTTTAAGAATCTGAAAATTTGGGTGATTTGGAAGTGTATATATGACTTCTGGAATAAAGTTTGTATTCTATTTAAATAATCTTATCTGATATATTGATCTATATTATAGTAAATTCACTTCAAGATCATGTTATCTACCAAAATTTGTTGATGATTTGTCAGAATATAAAATAAAATCAAGCTACAATTAATATTATATTAATTCACACCATAAAAAATAGAAATTCAAGTACAAACTTTGTAGTATCATATTAAAGCTATAAAAAATTCATTAGTTTAGTCATAAGCAAGTGATAAAAAATAGGAACAATTCATTAGTGAGGTCATTCAATTATACAAAGTGTCAAGGAAATTTATAGAGTATTTAAATAATATGAATAAAAGAATACGCATCATTTATAATAGCAATATATTTATATAAAATGGAATTAATTATATTAAAGTATTAGATATTAATAAAACTTTGACTATGAATAAAAATTATAATGAGATTATCAAATTAATGTATAATAAGGAAGAATTTGAGTCAACTTGCATTGACAATTTTATTCTATGTAATGTTATTTAAATAGTATTTTTAAAGAATATAAAACTTCTATATAGCATTATATTATATTAATACTATAGTAGAAATTATATAGGTACTTTAAACTGACTTTGGAAAAGATCAGATATTATTGAATCATTTGATAAAATAAAAAATCACAAGCTTTACTTAAAATACATAAATTATTGTCAAAATATAATACCTAATAAATAAGAAAAAATATGATTAATAGAATATATTTTAGACTTTTTGTTTATATTCAAATAAAGTTCAAGATAAAAATAAAATAAATTTATATTTTAAATTAAAAATTCAGTTTTATTATACTAGTATTCACTATATATACGATTATCACCTGCTATACTATATACATTATATCAAAATTTCATTGAAAATACGTTAAGTAGCCTGAATTTAATATTTTAGAAAATGCAAGAATGTATAAGGTTAATGTACGAAACTCAAAACCCAAATATTATATTTGATTTACAAAAAAATGAAAGATTTAAAGAAATAAAATTTAACGAATTTTAGGATAAAATTGATTATTATTTTAATAAAATTAGTATATAATTGTTTAGATAAATACATAAATGCTGTAAAAATTTATTAATTAAACTTACATTTCTTAAAATTATTTTAGCAGTATATGAAAGATAATACATTACAATGATGATTATTCAGTTGCAATATTAATTAAAAAATTATATGAAAATATTATAGAATGCTTACAAACTAAAGAAAAACCTTTTTCAAAATTTTAATTCCAAGTAAAGAGTGGATCAGACTTCAATTTTAGCCGAAGAATGCCTATATAAAAACTTTTATGCAATATATTGGTCAATTTAAAATTTCTTACAAAGTACAGAGTAGACAATTTCGTAAATTATATTCTAATTCTCAATATTATGCTATATTATTTTATTATACTCAGCTTTTTGCTATTAAATTTCATAAATTTACTTATTTTATTTCAGCAGATAATAAGCATAAAATTTCAATTGGTGAAACAGTTAAAATATTAATAGGAGTTCACAATAAAGTAATATTGGCATCCTTAAGTATAAAATTAATATCATGCAATCATAATTTTATTAAACTTTCAGTAACACTATCAGTTTCATTATTTTGTGAAATTCCTAAAGATATTAGTAGAAGTTTTTATCAAAGACAAGTATTTGTTTCTTATAAAGATTCAGTCTTTCAACTTAATTCAGCACTTAGACATTCTAGTAAATGGCTGAAATGTTTACATGAAAAATATATCATGTTGTCTAAAATGCTAATTATTTATACTAATGATAGTGCAAATCATCAAATCACATTTGTTTCTATTCAAATAACAATGATTTGTCTATTTTTGAAAGAAAATTTTGATTTCCTAGCAGCAGTTCAAATAGCATTATATTATTTATAGACTAATCCTACAGAATAAGTAATATCAATTATAAATCTTGGATTACAAGGCGTAGCATTAAAGAGAAGTAATATGATTTTAAACTAATATTTAAAAACTTAGGAACAATAGAAGATATTTGAAATGTATCATCATTTAATTAAACTTTAAGTGAAGAATTAAAAACAGCTATTAAAAGTACCTAAAAAACTTTAGAAACTAGAATTGAATGATTAAAATTGTATAATCAAAAGTTTAAATGTATTAAACTGGTCATTTTGGAAGAAATTAATAGTTTATTTGAAGTAAATACTTGTCATAAACTCTATTTTGCAAAAAAAATTTATTTCTTTAATATATTTACTCAAATTTTATAGCCAAATTCTTTATATATAGATTTTAGATGAAAGAATTGATAATACTCTTACTCAAAATGGTACCTTATAAAACAAACTTCATACTTATGTTGATTTGCAAAATTCATCAAATCACACTGCTTAATCTGAGAATATTCATTTCAGGTATAACTGAATTTAATTTTATTAATTTTTCAATATTAATAATATTAACTTCACTTAAGATTAAAAAATGTAAAGAAAGTAATTGCTTAATTTGTGGTTCTGTTCAATTATCACATGAAATTTTTAATCAATTACATTATTCTAATTTCATAAATTATTGAATTAGATCCCAATCATTATTAGGATTTTGATTCATTATATGGGCAAAATACCACTGAAAAAGATATTCCAAGTAAAAAATCATCATGAATGCAAAGAACTTGCTTCAAGTGGGATTTTGGTTGCTGCAAGGGTTCATGATTTTGTTTTTTGTATTTCTTGTTCAAACTACGCTGTCTGTTTAGCCAATATGCATTAGATGATTCCAATTGTGAAGCATTACAAACAGCCATAGAAACATTTGCATATACATGTGGTTCACCAATTGTTCCAGAAAATCATTTCTTATATGACAAGGTTTTTGTCAGGATGAATTTAACTTGTAATTTACCAATTGAGCAGGTGTATTATTCTTGTAAGATTGAACATTCACAGATATGTTATTATTGTGATGAAGAGGATAATCTTGTTGAAGCATCACAAGAAATTTTATCTCAATTTCAAACAGTATATCCCTTATGCGAAGTTTGTCAAGAAAGAGGAAAGAATTTTTTTACAAAAGGCAAAATACAAATGCGAAAAAAGAGACATATAATTTTAAGTAAAAATTTTTACAATATGTAAATAGTTATCTATCATTACCCCCTCGTATCTTCAAAATTCTATAATAAACATTATAATTAGTACTAATAAATAATAATTCCCCATCATTTTTTGTGCTTAAAAAATTTGTAATTTTTTGTTGATTACCCACCCCGCATGTCTTTTTTCAATAAAAATTCTTGTTAAACATAATTGCGGCCTTATACTAGAGAATATCATGATTCAGATTCCCCATGATTTATTAATTTACAGTTAAATATTTATGGCGCAGGGATACCTTTATTTTTGTTAGCGATAATCAAAAAAATCTGCTGTAATCGTCTTTTGGCGCAGTAAACATTGGAAAATAAACTATCATAGTCAATGTTTTCTTTGAATTCGCTTGATCCTATCAGGCCCTAACTCACTAAACAAATCACTCGAAACATCTTGCAAATGGATTTCAGAATAAAAAATTTCGGCCAATTATACATGACATGATGACATATTCTTCTGACGAGAAGGTGGGATAAACCGTGAAAAAATGACACAATCGGAAAATTTCGTGTAATCCTGATCGTTCCTCGAGGGAACGGTTTTTTGCCATATACAGTAATTCAAGAAAAAATTTTGGCCGTCCATGCAATGAATAAATAATGTATACGAAAACAGCATACGAACTTTTTTATTTTTTTCAAATTCCGATGCACGATACTGCATAATGAAGAGTTGCATACTAATAATCCTACTCGTGATATATTGTAAATTTTTATTTGCAAATAATGATAAAATTTTAGATTAAAATAAATCGGGAATGATGTTGAAGAGATTTCTATTTACAATTTTAACCTTCTTTTTTTCACAGAACTATTTTTCTTTGACTTGGCTTTCTTCGGAGTTTTCTCATTATCAGCAAAAAAACAAATCGACATAGATGATCGGGAAGATTGATCAACTCCCATAAACTCATTATATAAGCTAACTTCTTCTGACTCAGATTTTGTATTGTTCATTATGATATTCAAATTATTCTTCACAATGCTCTGTACAAACGGTATGAATGATTAGGGAAGCTAAAAGAATGATATACAAGAGTATATAAATAACATTTTCACCTTATATTGATATATCATAGCTAGAAACCTGAGGAAAGTTTAACCCCTTCCGCTGAAAACTTATTACTTAAATAATACACTTTGGGGTCCTTATAGAAAATAGTAATTGATCCGCCAGCACGCCACATCCTAGTAGCCTGAACCCTTAATCCGAGATGTAAAATCCCGAATACTTGAAGCTTGTTCACCTTTTCTTCTTCATAATCAACTTCTCTGATCATATCGGCTAGCATATCGTGAAGTGTCTTTGGCATTTTGAAATTTTCAAGGAGATATTTTCGATCAAAACACCCTTAAAAGATCTTGCTGCCTCGATTGCCCCTACCTCAAGGAGTCTGTCGATAACATAGATTATTCCATCGATTTTTCGCCCAGTTAGCTTTCGCTTTCTTGGTGTTACTTAACTGAGTACGATTTTTCCTATTAGCAGAAGTTAAAGAAGGAGCATCAGTTCTATAAATATGAATACAAACTGTTTTAGTTGACAATGTGATTGATCGGTTAAAAAAGTGATAAGTGACCTCTTAATATCAGTTCCTAATCGCATATCCCTAAGACAGAAATCTATACAACTTCCAAACAGTGCTACAAAGTACCAGCCCTCATAATGATATCTCGTTAGAGGACAATCCGTGTTTTCATATAAATTTACAAGATTTCTTACGGACAGTTGTATCCATTCGTTGTCATAATGTTGATGGACGTTATATTTAGCATTATCTCGAAGATAAGATGTCATCGAAATTTCGCGAAATTCTTCTAATTTCTTCTTTCCGTATTTTGACAATTCCTTTGCAATATCATCTGGAATAGAGGGAACTCCTAATCGGTCATCGGTCAATTCCTGCCATTCAGTTTCAGTAAATAACGCCTTAATTTCCGTATCGTCATAATCTACAATGTATGAGTGAGCATGGCTAATAACATCTCAGTATAAAGAAATTAAGTTTTGAGATGCAAGAAAAAAAAGTTAAGATTCAAAACTTACTGCTCATAGTTCATGTCTTTACAAAAATCGAATAGGATGTCTTCCACTATCGTTCCTGTGCGCAACCGCATTTTCGAAGAGTCGGGAATAGACTCGTATGTTTTACGAAAGGCCTTTTTGTCGATTTTTGGAGGAGTATTTTCCTCCTCGTTTTCCTCCTCGTCTTCTTCATAATCGTCCTAAAATTTTAATGCAAGGAACAACTTTACTTTCTCATTCTTTCCATTCATCAAGTATGAATTTCGCATAGCACAAACTTACATTACAATCAAAATTTTCGTCCTCAGATACGATGTCAGATTCCTCGGAGTAACTCGGACTCGGCCTTTCGGCCTGAAAAGAATCATGCTCATTAGTGTTTATTCGAATTGAACATATACACATTACCATACCTTATCTTTTCCAAACGTGTTTAAAAATGGATTGTTTTTTTCATCTCTGATTGTTTTAAGATGTCCACTTTGAAAAGGAAAGATATTTGAATAGTCTTCAGAGAATAATATTTCAGCGTTATGTTCTGCAACTTTGCTGTATACTTTTATACTTCCAGTTAGATGTGCTCGTTGTGCTTCCATCTATTTTGCAAGAGTTTAATCATTATCTCATAGGATAATACAAAAGATTTAACACATAAAGGCAAGTGGCATAAAAACCTTTCCTCGCTCGTAAATTATTCCTTCCCAGTAGATCTGCAAATCTTTGTTTGCACGTTGTTTTTTTACCTACATGAATATGAGGGCAAAAGTGAGTGTATGATGTCCATATCACAAGTAAAAAGCATTATCTCAAGAAAGAAAAGGTAAATCGCAATAATAGGGCCGGAATGGGAGCCGATACCTCCTAACCTAGATGAGAATAGGTGGAGTTGCCACTATTATTACTCGGGCTGGGACAAGAACTAATACTTCTAATCTAGATGAGAATAGACAGAAGCTCCCTAATATTACGAAACGCACGAATACATCACCTTCTCTTCCAAAGTTGCATAATCATATTCCTTTGCTTCTTTCGCTTCCTTTAAAAACCTGCGAGCCCAAGTGAGGTCAAGGACATTCCATTTGTCTGAAAAAAGTTGTGAGAGAAGAATGACATCACGGTTAAAATTTAAAAATTCAGTGTAGGAACACTGCATGTTGTTATCTTTAAGTAGGCGACAAGGGCTTTGAAGGTTTTTAAATAGCAGGTTAGAATCTAGAAAAGGAAAAAGACTATTTTTCTTTTAAATAAACATCATAAATAACACTTGCCGTGATAGCCAGAGTACGGTTCTTTGTTGTTGTTCATGGTGTTCAACTTGGTTGTGGTATTCAGAAAATTTTATTTTTTTTCAACGAGCTATATAAAGTATATAAGGAAATTCGACTCTTTGATAGCATCATACATTCTCATTCGATATGTATCTGAAAAAAATCATTAATAATTAATAAATAATTTTTTTTAGTACAGTATAACAGATATCTGACTGCAATTATCAATCGGGGTCCCATGATAGTTGTTTAAGAAGGGAGTACGCGGTTCCTAGGCCATTTAATGCGAGTCCCAGCATCAAGTTATTTCTTTGCTCTCTTAGGTTTCTTATAAATTTCTATACTAATTGTTTATTTCCTATCACTATCGCTATCTACAATAGATTTTGAAATAAATAATCCAACCTATTATCTACGTATATCGATATCACTTCCACCCACATGGACCATATAAGTATTAAGTTCCGCAAGAACACTTCACCGAGATTAAGTAATTTAGAAACTACAGCATAGAGATGCTTATTTTCGGCTAATTCACGTGATTTATATAAAGCTGCGCCAAATCTTATCTGACGATCATCGTATCATCTCAATTAATGAAACGCGAAACCTGTTTTAAACCTGTTAAAAAAAATGCTACAAAAACGTAAAAGAGTTATTAGAAAGGTTAGACAAACTTCATATTCTATTGAGAAGAAAAAGGAAGTTGTTAATTATGCAGAACAACATGACAGATGTGCAGTGACAAACCACTTTAATATTAATATTAGTATGGTCAGACGTTGGGTTAGAGCAAGCAAGACCTAGACAACTAAGACAAATAGCAAAAAAAAGAAATTGGTTCTGGTCAAAAGGCTTTATATCCCAAAGCTGAAAAACTTTTATATGATTGGATTATTAGACAACGGAAGCAAGGATTGGCTGTAAATTAATAATACAAAATAAAATAAAGAAAATTTTAAGTGAATCAACCATTTATAATTTAATAAATAATTTTAAAGCATCAATTAGCTGATTATGTAAATTTTTGAAAATGCATGGGTTGGTATTGCATCGACGCATAAAAATATCTCAGAAACTCCCAGAACATACTAAAGAATTGCTAGAGAGTTTTAATAGATTTGTCACCCAATTTAGGATAAAAAAGTCTTTTGAAATGTGTGATATTTATAATATGAACAAAACACCTATTTGGTTTAATATGGCAAATAATTTTACAGTTAATCAAAGAGGTGAAAAAACGATACATGTTCATGAAACTGAAAATGAAAAAATCGATTTATAATTGTTCTTAAATATGCTGCTGGTAAGTTTTTGAAATTTTGTCTTTGTTTATATATTGTATAATTTTTTTTACTTTCTTTGACTAGTTTTTCTAATTGGTGAAGTACAGAGGGTCACCAAAAGTCTCTGAACACCACTTTTTAAGCGTGATTACATGCTAGTAATGTCATGTAACTTAATAATATTATGGTCACATGACGTTCCGGAGTTTGTTTACATAAATCAAACTTAATAAATGCGCATTT